TGTCGTCCTGGCTGGTGGTGTCCCGGGAGGCAGTTTGAGAGCGACAGGGATGAGGAGGCAGACGCTGGCGATCAGGCCGCAACACCGAAGCTTTTGAGCGGCGGACCATGTTGTACCGACGTAATAAACACCCTTCCAAAACGGGAATCGCGTGCTGATGGTCTGCGGCTAATTGCGCGGCGTGCCACAGCTAGTCAGTACCATGTTTCCGCTGACAGCAAAGTTCAATGACACGTACTAAGGGTTCGCCTACCTTACAGATAGTGTACTGCACCGTCCCTTGTGTATACGGCCAAGACTACGCCCCTGGTGAGCAGTAAGACTTGCAAAATCACTCGACGTCGAGGACGAAGAGGAATTACAGGAAGCGCCCAAACTCGCCAACGCGGAGCCCACGTGCCAACCCCTCCTGCCATATCGGTATGGCATCTGAGCGCCCATAGTGGCATGGCACCATTGTCCATCCCGATTTGGCAGCCTGCTTATTCAAGCCCTTGTATTGTGTCGCTCGGCTGTCACCACAAGAAGCGTAGAGCACGCGGTGCGCATTTGATGATCACTGCCTCAACCTGGCTGTCCTGGTATCTACAGATCAAAAAGCCGGCGACTTTGCACCCTCTTTTGCGAGTACTGAGCAGTATTATTCTGACTGTCTCGGAGGTAACGACTCGGAGCCTGCCACTGTGTCTCAGTACCAGGATAGTTGCGTGGAGCCTGAATAAGGCCTACAGTTATCATCCATTCATTTGCCATCGAAACAGTGCGATAAGCGAACAACGATCACTCGGAGCGAAGGGCCTATCCAAGGCCCAAAGCCTGACGCCTGAGGAACTGCTAGCAAGTTGGGTCTTGTGGTCGTCAAGGCGGAAGGCACTGCCAAGAAACCATACCTTCCTATGCATTTCCCACAGCGTAAAAACAACGGAAAGGTATTCAAAAGGAGGATTTCGCCCGTTTTGGCAGGTGAAAAAGGATAAGTTATCCTTTCCGCCTCCGCTTTCCGTCGAAAGGAAAGGATGATTTCTTTGTAGTGGGGGGAGAGCAGAAGGTCTTCAATTGAAGGGGTTAGTACGGTCGTACTTTGACAGGCCTAGCCCGCGGATGGTTCGTTTGTTTCCGCCAATCGAAGGGAGGCAATACTAGGATAGGCGCCCCTGATTCTCATACTTATCGTGATGTTTATCATGAGGGTGGGCTTATCCTGAGGATCACAGCAAATCCAGAATCATATTCTAACCACGGTGGACGACGTACTGGGTGCCAAGACTGTTACGGCTCCTCGGCTCAGGACAGCCACAACTTGAATGTGGCCGGCGATCGTACTACTACCCGATTTAGCGGGGCGTTGCATCGATCCGGATCTCACACACTGATGGTTGACTTGCATCGCGGCACCGGAAACCCCGCGTCGTTCCTCGATCCATAGGGATCTCACTGGCTCTCGCTCTCATAGAGTGGATGTGAACTATCTGCACTACCAGACCTGTCACGCTCAATGCCTTCTAGGCTTGTTTCAAAACCATTACAGGCTCGTGTTGAATTGCCGATAAGGCTTGTCTGCCAGTGGAATAACATGAACCCTCAACGAGGTGGGCAAGATCAGGGCTAGTGATGCGGGAAGCTCGCAAAGCTCGTTATACGATGGTGGATAGTGGCTGTAGAGAGCTGTAGCGTCGATCAGGTACGTTGCTCTCGTGTGTGTTCTTGTCCAAACCTCTGGTAGCCAGTATATTGGCCCTCTTTTTTCCGGTCAGTTGGACACTGTTAACGAAGCTTTTAATATGCCAGATAAGCCGCCGGCTACTGGTAAACCTGTTCAAACGCGGAGCTCCATACAGTCGCAGTTCCGAGAAGGTGGTAGCCTTGAGACTTCGCTCGCTATCTCTTATCTCCAGGCCTCCTGAGTGGGAGTGAGCAGGTAAGACGCTGACCCATCGGGGAAGACATTACGAGATGGGCTGGAGTGACACGGAACTGAGAAGCACGGTACGTCTGGTTCTTCTCACTTGATTGGCAGAAGCCTTTACTCAACTCGACTTTGAGAGACTGAGCGTTTATCGTTATACAGCATGTCTCATGAGGTTCAAGACCCCGTCTGACATATCCACTTCACGGGTGTATGCTTCGTGCAACAATACCAAAACGTGGTCGAGTCCTCCTTGCACGACGTTCTAGGTACAACGCTCTTATCGCTAAGCGACTCGGATGTAGACGCTACGGGTGACGGTTCAAACGAGCGGTGCCTTGGCATGGGGCCCCGTATGTATAGAGAGCAAACTAAATTTGCTCACCGTGCGATCCGCGAAGCCTGTTCTCTACGCCCTCGCAAGGTGCCCTCATGTCTACGCTAGATGGGTCGGTTACTCCGCCGCTCTCGCAAGGTTGGCCAATCTTCGACGGCAGTACTCCTAGTTGACACTGTCTCATGCGTGGTCTTCTGTAGGAGTCGGTTATGGAATCATGTGTGGCGTGGGCGCGCTCTTTGCCGTCGGGATGTGGTGGGTTTCGAAGATGCTGAGCACGTTCCAGAACGAAGTGCAGGGCTCGGAGATGTTCATGACCGCGAAGAGGTCCATTAACACGGGCCTGGTTGCTTCTGCAGTGGTATCTGGATGGACGATCGCGGCTACTCTGCTCACGTCCACGTCTTGGACATATGAGTTCGGCGTATCCGGCGCGTACTTCTACGGTGCAGGTGCGTGCATACAGATTTTCGTCTTCGCTGTGAGTATCCTTCCACATTCTGTGTGACTCTCCTGATTGGTGTCCAGGTTTCAGCGATCGAACTCAAGCGGCGTGCACCAGGCGCCCATACTTTCATGGAAGTGTCGAAGCTGCGCTACGGCACGGCCGGGCACTGGATCCAGATCATCTACTCGACGATGTATCAAATCATCAACTGCGTCAACATATTAGTCGGAGGTTCCGAAGTCTTCGCAGCTCTGACTGGTATGAACGTCATCGCCGGCTGCTTCCTTCTCCCAGTGGGCGTTGCCATTTACACGCTGAGCGGCGGTATCAAGGCCACGATCCTCACCGACTACACACACACGATCATCATTTACGCCCTCATTCTAACCGGTCTCTTTGTCGTTTATAACTCGTCTTCGCTGATCGGCTCCGCCGATGCTATGTTCGAGCTGCTGAAGCAGGCGGCCGTGAGGTCACCCGTGGCGAACAATGCTGGAGGCGAGTATCTCACCATGAACTCGCAGAGTGGAATTCTTCTTGGCGTTATATTCTGGTGTGCCGTCTTCGGTACGACTGTCGACGTGCAGTTGTACCAGAAGGCTATTGCCGCCAATCCTTCGGCTACCCTACCGGGATATCTCATCGGTGCTTTGGCATGGTTTTGGTACGCCCCTTCTTACATGGTATCGCCCTTCGCTTTCTGACGCGCGATGCAGCATCCCATTCTGCCTCGCTACCACGTTTGGGTTGGCCTGTCGAGCGCTTGAGAACACGCCTGGCTTCCCGACCTACCCACGTCCCATGTCTGCAACGGAGATTTCGTCCGGACTCTCCCTACCTTACGCGGCGATCGCAATTATGGGAAAAGGTGGCGGTGCATTCGTACTCCTTATGACTTTCATGGCCTGCACGTCTGGCTTCTCCGCCGACCTTGTCGCAGTCTCCTCTGTCTTCGTCTACGACGTCTACGGGACGTACATCAACCCGAAGGCGACGGGAGGCCGTCTCGTCAAGCTTTCGCATGCGACGGTCATCGTCTGGCCGCTCTGCATGTCCATCATCGCAACGGGCATCACGCAGACCACCATCGGCGTGAACTACCTGGTTACTTGCATGGGCGTCTTCACCTGCTCGTGCGTCTTCCCGATGTACAGCACCGTCCTCTGGCGGGCGCAGAACAAGTGGGCCATCGCTCTCGCTCCGCCGCTCGGGAGCATCACCGCGATTGCATCGTGGCTCGGGTCGGCTCACGCACTGGAGGGCTCGGTCACCGTGTTGTCGACGTCACAGACGATCCCACTTGTGATCGGGAATGCCGTCTCGCTCGGCGCAGGGGTTGTTTATTCGGTCATCTTGACGTACCTCCTTGGCCCGCAAAACTTTGACTGGGAGATCCTCAAGACCGGCGTCAAGGTGATCGACGATAGCGACGTCGCAGGAGTCACCGAGGAGCAGCTACAGCAGCAGCTGGCCGTCGAGCACCTGTCTCCACTTGAAGAGCGGGCGTTATATCGAGGCAAGGTCGTCGGTAGTTTCATGGCCATCGTAAGTCATCTTGCTCACCTCCCGCTCCTGCTGTCTCACACGTAAATCAGGGTCTCTGCCTAGTTTTCATCGTCCTCATCCCACTTCCGATGTATTTCACGCACTACGTCTTCTCACGACACTTCTTCCGAGGATGGGTTGCTATCACCTTCCTCATCGCGTGGATTTCCACTCTCGTTATCCTCCTTATGCCGCTCTATCAGGGGCGACACACGCTGAAGATGTTCCTCCACTACGTCTGCGGCTCGCGTGGCAACGATCTTGTGCGGAAGGCACCAGACGAAGCAGCGTCCCGAGCGTCGACGATGGATTCCGGGGTCCACGGGAATGGGAAGTCAATGCTAACGGAGAAGAGAGGAGGGGCTGTAGACGTGACGGCCGCTGATGACAGTTCTGAGTCATAAGGGGGCCAATCATTGTCTGTGCCATTTTGCAAGTTAGGACGCCGAACGAACTGCATATGTACTGGTATAGTTTATTGAAGTATCACACAGAGTGAGAATGACTTTGGATGTCACACATCGACCAACCACCGAAGCCTGCCAGCGTGCTGGGTTGTGGGGGACCGATGCTCAACGGTAAACGTTCACTTGCTGGGGTGTCCCCTCGTGAGTTCTATGCGAGCGTCCTCTTCTCACCAAGGCTGAATTCAAGGATTGCTCAGGAACAAATGATTGGTTCCACGCTGGCTCTTCTCTATAGTAGTAGCAAGGTATTAGACCAGATGAAGCCTCAGGGGAGGCGGAGAAAAAAGATGGGCAAGAAGGCCTCACCGTGACTCGAACACGGGACCCTTCGATGACACTACTTTGAAGGCTTTGACTGCAATCGAATGCTCTAAACCGCTGAGCTATAAGGCCTAGCGACGCTGTGTGTCGCTACACAAATTAGTGTAAAAGACCGTGTTGATTCAAGTGAGTGCTCACGGGAGATAGACGCCGACCGATCTCAGTTGTGCGCCTCTTCCGTCCGACCTGCCTGGCGTTCCTCGAATTTGAAGGTAGGTGCCTTTTCCGACTACAAGTCGATCTCTCCCTTCAATCCCCTCCCAAACCACATCCCGGATTTGCGCACGGCCGCCAAGCACTAGACGGAATCACTAGTAGAGACAGTCCGGACATTTTAGGCTTTGACGGGGGTATACAAGTCGCACGGTCGCGGTCGCTCTGGAATCTGGATGTCTACAGGCTCTGCTGAGGATAGATCTGCTGGGAACTCATCTATTCAAGGACACAGTGTTAACGGCCATGACGGACCTGCGCCAACAACTCACGGCAATCCCGGAGCACGCGCTTCGGTCGATTGTATGCCATCTGCACCCGAGGTCCATCTAAACGGCCAGCCCGCCTCGAGTATGTCTGGGAGAAAGTCAATGACGGACAGTGTCGCGGGGAGCGTGGTGCCTGGGGAGGGGTGGGGAGCGAACTTCTGGGTGACATTGGTCGATCCGCAGGTGCTAGTTGAGTCAGTGTCGCGTCGCGGTATCTGAGACTTACACGAGGAACAGACACAAGTGTCGTTCTATGCATGTCCCGCTACAGGCGAGGTCAGCTGGGATCCGCCAGTTGGAAACTTCCTGTAAGTAGTTGCTACCACCTATTCAACGCCGCCATCAATAGCCACATAGATTGCCTCCGGACCCGGAGGGCGAATGGTGGGAAATGATCGACGAGTCTAGCGGGCTCCCGTACTACTACCACACTAAATCGGGGGAGACTGTCTGGGAGCGCCCAGATGCATTCGTTATACCCCTCGGGATTCTGCAGGTGTGACACTTTGGTACATGGCAGGCAACACCCTGACGACCTCTCGCAGAACACGGCATTGGGACGCCGCTTATCCGCCCGTCGAGGCTCGCCCAAGGAGCTGGTCGCGAAAGATGAAGGTGGCTTTGAAAGGGCACAGTACCGTCGCTCCAACTCTTACCGTAGCGAACAAGACCTACGGCAAAGTAATGCAACACAGCAGAAACGACGCTCACGATCCGCTACCCGCAGCTCGCCCTCTCATACAACGCAACCAACGGCCAGCCCTGCCGCGAGCCCCGGTTCCAGCAAGAAGACATCACCTCGTCGGCCAGCGACGAGCGATCATATGCGGTCCGGCACCCAGTCGAGCGGAGGTCCTTTAGCGTATCCTCGTGGACATCCACTCGCCCCCATACCTGGGTCGCCATACGTCTCCGATGCGTCATCTGTTGCACCCTCTCGCAAGTCCATGTCCACGCAGTCGATAAACGATCGCTACGCAAGGGCGCAGGCAGCGGCGAAGATGGAACAGCATAGAGAAGAGGACGAAGGAGCGAAGCTCGCGAGCAAATATGACAGCTCTACCCTGGGACGATCGCGATCGAAATCCTCCAGCTATCTATCCTACCGCGCGCCCCAGCCGCAAAGCCTGTCCGCCGCGCTCGAGATGATCGCCTTGTCCGATTCACAGTCTACCGCGTCCACCATCTCAACAGACAAGGTGCGCACAGTGTCTGAGAACGGGCATGGTGGGCGATCTGCGACGCCGTCGCTCCTTGATCCCCGCAAGCTCCGGATCAGCACCGACAAAACTGATGGTCTGCATACTGCGCCTGCGTCGCCTATGTGGCCGCGTGGCAAGAAGAAAGACAAGGTAGGCCCACCTAGCCCGCGACGACCAATACCGGCATTGCCACATTTTGGTGGCGGACGCAGCGTCTCTACTCCGGCGCCCGCTACCATCAACGGCAAAGTGATCAGCACTCCCATTTTCAACCCAGGTAAGAGCTCGTGTGCTCCGCAGCCCAGCGTTGACATTGACTACCACCCGCAGACGCGACACGGAACATGAATCAGGCCATGAACCCTGGAACTGTACCGCCAGAACTGTACCGGAAATCAACGCAAGCGTCAAGTGTCTCTCTCAACACTGGGTAGGTCAACACAGCATGCACAGTGCCCCAGTCGTGTCTAACATACAGGCGCGCAAGCAAATACCCTGTCCTCCCCCACGAGCTCTCCTCAGACATTCAACAGTTCGCCGAGACCCACTTCGCGAAACACTACTTCTCCACGCATCGAGTCGGCATACTCTTCAAGCGCAAAATTCCCGTAGAGCAGATGATGAGTTGGCAGAAGGTACGATCCATCACTCCAAGCCAACGCACATGCTCATCTAATCTGAGCAGAATCATCTGAGCTCACCATTACTGCAGCTCAACAGGTCGCTGCACAAGAACGCGCTGAAGATGTTCAAAGTCATACAGTTCATCATGGGTGACCGCGAGCGCGAGCGCGGGCTGAAGCTTGCTACAGGTACAGAGAGCCAGATCTCTCAAGCCGTGCTAAATTCATCAACGACCTCTCTCCCCAATCCCTCGAAAGCTGCCAAGCTGGAGGACGAGCGGTGGCTGCTCAGCGAGGGCATCGCGCACGGGGAGCTGCGCGACGAGATCTACTGCCAGGTCATGAAGCAACTGTGCGGCAACCCGAGCGCGTGAGTGACCGCATCACGTCAGGTGGGGGCAGTGGCTGATATGAGACGATACAGGGAGAGTATCTTCAAGGGTTGGCAGCTGCTCTGCGTCTTGCTGGTTACCTTCCCCCCGTCGAAAGACTTCGAGACGTACCTCCATTCATACCTGCAGCAGGCAACGATGCAACAAGAGGGGCGTGTCGACGTGATGGCGAAGTACTGCCTAAGGCGCCTAGCATACATCTCGCGCAAAGGTCCGAGGGGCAAGCCGCCAACGACTGTGGAGATTGAGACTGCGTCGGTGCGTATCCGCAGCATTGCAGCTTCGGGCCGGTTTGCTGACGCCTCGACTGTGCAGGACGCCGCGTTCCACCCCTCGATATTCGGCGAATCGCTCGACACGATCTTTCGCCTGCAGGAGCGCTCATACCCGCATATGAAGGTGCCCATCATCCTACCTTTCCTCGCAGATGGCATCCTCGCATTGGGGGGCACCAAGATAGAGGGCATCTTCCGCGTGCCGGGTGATGGCGACTCAGTTCAGGACCTCAAGCTGCGCATAGAAAAGGGGTACTACTCGCTGGACGGCGTGGACGACCCGCACATCCTCGCGTCCCTGATGAAGCTGTGGCTCCGCGAGCTCTGCGACCCGCTCGTGCCAGATGAGCTGTACGACGAGTGCATACGCGCGAGCAAGAACCCTGAGGCATGTGTGAGCATCGTGCGGCGGCTGCCGACGATCAACCGCCGCGTCGTGCTGTTCGTCATCAGTTTCTTGCAGCTGTTCCTGGAGGAGAAGGTCTGCGCCATCACGAAGATGACCAGTCAGAACCTGGCGCTGGTCATGACGCCGAACCTGCTGCGGTGCAACTCGGAGAGTATCGCTGTCATCTTCACGAATGCTCAGTGAGTTGCAGTGTCCTAGGCTACTGCGATCGCGGAGGTGCTGACAGTTGGGATAGATACGAGCAAACATTCGTTCACAATCTATTGCTTCATGTCCGATGCGACACCATCGATCCGGACTATATCCCAACCCACGGACAGGGCGCCGTCCCTCCCTCCAATCCACCACCAAAGAGCTCCCAAGGCCGTCGCCGACCCAACCATTGAAGCGGGTCCACTCTCATTCACATCATCATCCGCCACATCGCTTCGCATCCGGATAATGCACCCTAATCTGTTGTATACCTTCCCGGGCGTGTTTCCTGCTATGCTGGATGAGTATCCTTGCATCTAGTCACAAGTACCTCTGCATCTGCATCTCTCACCATCCTTACTGTGCTTCAGTTAGTCTCTACATCTACTACCTCTATTATCTTGTTTGGAGCGGGAGCATAATCACTTCATACCCTTCGTTTGGTGCTTTTCTTGGTTTATACCGGTGTCAGGCACTTGGTTGCTCTCAGCCTCGTGCACAATATGCCGGTGTAGTTGTGCAATACATATCCCGTCTCTGTACGCTTAGAATTCTTGAGAAACAACAAAAGGCTGCGGACGTGACGCGTGACCACTTGAACGCAGGAGCGGCGCGGTACCAGAGAGCCCCCTCAGGCTGTCCAACGTGTGCATGGTGCTGTAAGCATCAATACACAGCAGGCATCATTTCTCCTGCAACATGGTCCATTATGTTGTTCCTTGTGGTGATGTTCAAATATCCACATGACTGTCCATGTTGGTCTTTGCTCATGCGTATGAGTGAGCCGCCCATGGGTTCCGGTACGTATGCAGCGTCGGAATTTGCATGGGCGGTCTCCTGATCGACCCCATGGATATCTGGTCTTGCCTGGCATGATGTGCGTCGTGCACGCTTGCATCTATGTCACAGAACGCTGCACGCAGAAGCCGATACGGCGTGATTCATGAATTGCGCATGCCTTTCAGTCATCGTTCACGGGGATCGCCACTCGAAGAGCTTATATATGCGGAGGCGGCGGGTGACCTTGTACTAGTCTCGATCTCGGCCTGACAGCCACATAACGTTGGCCGAGACTGCCTTGAACACGGTTCAGACTGGTGGATACGCGTCCCGATCGCCATTCCTGTCCATGTCAGCATTGCGTCACCACACGTCCGATGGAGGGCTCACTGACATCACGCAGACCCGCCCGGCACCGCTTTTTCCGCCATATAAAAGCCGGACGTGTACAACAACATCCCCCGACTCCCCCGACCACTCACCTCCCTCGCGCGCCTCACCTACCTATATCTCATATGCATGAGCGTCAGAGACGAGTCAACAGCAACTCACTGGCTTTCACGGCGACTCCGAGTCGTGTCTCCATGCCACGCAACTTACGGTCTTCAAGTTGGTGCGCCCGACTGTGACTAAGAGTATGTGACGCTGCGAATGGTGTTTATGGTGAGTCTTGGTTTCCGATGGAAGTGCCCGCATTCGCAGGCAATCCCGGGCACG